CAATCAGGTATACGTACAAACATAAGACTAAATCTAGGTCTCGGAGCTTCTGAAAACATAAGACTAAATCCAGGTCGCGGAAAAGCCGAAGTTACCTGACGGCGGAGGAGGAGCTGGACCACGCATCACAGTCTTATTCTCCGCCACCTGTTCATTCGAGTCTCTCCTTTCCTCCGCGTTCATCGTTTCCAATAATCCTATAAGAGAGATTAAGCATACTCGATTAAGTAACACAAACAAATCATTAGACTAAGTGTTGGGGATGCTGAAGTTACCTGATGGCAGAAGCAACAGACGAGCTGGAACTTACTATCTCAGAAGACTAGGTCTTGGAGTATGATATGTGGCAATATCATCGCATCCCATATATATATACACGGAAAGGAAGAAAAAAAAAAAACAGCCCACGAGAGAGCTAAAAGCCCACGACAAAGCTTTTCTAAGATATTTTTTATAGTATTTATATTGCTTTCAAAATGTTTATATTATGTCTAATTTTTATAAAATATTTAGTAGTATATTATGTATTTATAATCTTTTTATGTTATTGACTTGAAAATAATACATTTTAAATATATATTGAACTGTGATGTTGTTACAACATATATTGTATATGGTGTTTTTTGTGTGCAGAAATTTTAAAGGTTGTAGATGGTGTTTTTTTTTATATATGTTCTTTAAAATATATTTATATAATATTTAAAATATATTATTAATATATTTGGTGAAAATATATTACTCTAATTAAAAAACTAGATCATGATCGCTGTGTGCGTAGAAATTATTATGTCTAATTTTTATAAAATATTTAGTAGTATATTATGTATTTATATAATCTTTTTATGTTATTGACTTGAAAATAATACATTTTAAATATATATTGAACTGTGATGTTGTTACAACATATATTGTTTTAAAATATATAGTGTGTGTAATATAATTTATGTCCTTCACCTAAATCAGAATTCATTTTTTTTTCCTTTGTTATATTGTTTTCTTTATTATATTTTTTCTTCTTACGAGAGATATAAAAATTCTATAAACCTAGAAGAATAATTAATCTTGTATACCCATTTTGTGATAAATTTATCTTTCCAAAATTTGTTAATCCAAGCCTAAAACTTCTTTTTCTAGTTCCATTATGGAAAAAAACTAGATCTTCCATTGTTTGTTTTCTCCACCTTTTTTTATCTGTTGGTTTCTCACAAAGTTCATCACTTTCAACGATTCAACTGCATTCATAGATTCAGAACTGCACATAAAAAGTACCCATAAATAAAGAACTATACTTTATTACCCAAATCGATTTGATTAATCTCATAACTTCAAATCCAACTATGGGGCAAAAAAAAGCGTTAAATTCAGATCAAAGAACCAGAGCGGAGCAGACATGATCCACAAACTGGAGTAGAAGTAGATACATTGGTGATGGATCTGAGAACTTGTAATGGTTATGGATATGGAGGTGATGGACACATAAGTAGATACACTGGTGGTCGTGGACGGAGTTGATAGACATGGAAGTAGATACACTGATGGTCGTGGACGAAGTTGATGGACATGGAAGTAGATACAATGGGGGTCATGGATAGAGGTGAAGATATGGAAATAGATACAGTGGTGGTCGAGGTGGTTAATACAATGTATGTAAAAGAGGTGAGAGGAGAAGATATTGAAGTGGTAACTGCGGTGGAGAAAGAAAAGAAGAGTAAAGAGAATAATAATAATAATAATAATAATAATAATAATAATAATAATAATAATAATAATAATAATAATAATAATAATAAAGTTTAATGTATCAACTTTTCATTTGACTTGCTTCCATTTAATTACACAAAGGGTATATTAGTATAAACACACATCTGTTTCGTGAATTATGCCATGCAAGCATGAACTGCCTTTTTGTGTAGTA